TACGCAGCACGTGTGACTTCCCTGTGCCGGGCCCTCCGTGCAAACACCAGCGCAGCGGGTCACCCGTGCCCGCGCCCCCTCGCGCCTCCCCGTCCAGCTCTTGCATCGCCCCCTCTGCTACCTGCTTCACCATTTCGAACTGTTTCGCGTTGACCGCGCGTCGGCCTGTGTCCTTGTCAGTCCGATACTCAAGTTTTCTGAGCCACTCTGCAATCTCTTCTGATGTCGCCCCTGCCTGCGCCTCCACCTTCCCAGTCCCTTCCTCCCCCGCCACTCTGTCGGCCATTGATTTCTCCTTGTTGCGCGATGCCCTTGCTGCGGCCTGAACTGCTTCCAGATCACATTCGACGGCTGTGGGCCACGCGTTTCGCACCTCAATCAGCGACTTTTCGTTTGGGCGCTGGCCCCGCACCTCCCGGGCATTGGCCATGCCTGCCTTCGAGTTCTGGCAATGTGTACAGCCGCCAAGACCACCCTCCACCCCACCGGCTTCTTCTTCACAACTGCTGTCACCGTCGCCGTCGCCCCGCTTCCGACCCCCGGCGCGTGACTTCAGAGCCTCGTCCAGCTGGTCGAATCCAACCTCCAATTCTTCGTCGCTCACGTCCTCGTCATTCCGCGCCTCGTCATGCCCCGCACCCCTCGGACGCACGCGATACACGCTCAGGAAGTTCCCCGCGTACCGTGCAGCTTCTTCCGATTGCACTCCGCCGTCCAAGCGCGCAACCATGGCGGCTTCCCACGTTTTCGCGGCCCCTCGCAGTGCGCCTGCGAACGCCACGTGATTGTCGGCCTCTGACAGTCGCAACGTCCACGGGTGGAAGTAAGACATTAAAAATTCGCGCTGACCGATCAGCTTCTCCATTTCGGCTGCGAGGCACTGGTGCCCCGAAAAAGGGTGGCGCCATAGGCCTCTTGTTCCTGACAAGAACCCACGTGTGTCGCAGGTGCCGGCATCCGTCAGTGTCCGGGTAGGCCACCCAATCGTTCCCTGCGTCGCCCTTCACCATGTAATCCACCCCAGGCACAGGCTCTTCCGACTGCCCCTGACTCCGACAATTTTCCTTTACTTTTTGCTCCCCTCTCGCCGTCAAGAACGCATGGTGCCTGTCCAGATTGGCGTCGGCGTCCCTGATACTGGTAGGGTATGACACGAGCACGGGCCTCCAATACGTAGCGAACTCGCACGGCGACAAGTGCCACAGGCCGTCCCGATTTGGACGAAGCCCGTACAACATGGCAACGTCTCTGATAGTGACTTCCCGCCGCATTGGATTTCGCATATCCACCTCCGCGAACTGAGCCTTGCGCCCGCCAGTTGTGCCGTCGGACAACCTTTCAACCGTTTCTACGTACTCGCGTCCGTAAAAACTGGCCGTCTCACAGGTCTTGATCGACTCTGCCGACGTCACATCCTTCTCCGCGGCATACGCTCGAAGATTCGCATACTCCACTTGGCCACGAACGATGCCTTTCCCGTAGGCGTCGCTCATGATGCGCGTCGTCATCCGCTTACCGACGTAGTTCGCGTTCTCCCCGTGCAACTGCCGACTGTGCTTCTGGATCCCTTTCGAGCACTCGCGGACTTCGTGGAAGGCCATAGGCTGGCGCTTCGTGCAGTAATCGCACGCGTACCCTGCCTGGGCGTCCTGAGCCATCTGGACCACCTTGATGATAGCTGCGTCGTTTTGCGTTTCCACACACCCCTTGCCGCACGTGCAGCTTTCGCTGGTGATCGGGAACCAGTACGGTAGCTGCACGTCCGAATTGAAACGCTGCGCGGCAAGCATGCATGGGTGTGTCCCATTCAGGCTCTCATGGTTCAGGGGCCCATGCAAACTCCCGACGCGGTTCCGCCTGCCGGCCTTCGGCATATCCAGCTGCGACGCCAGCCCTGGGCAGATCACAACCGGACGATCGATGACCTGCGTCGTTCGTGGGAAATCGGCCTTGCAGAGCTTCGGGTTGTCCTTCCGACGACACGCTGGCAAGGGCACCCTCTCCCCCGTCTCTGGGTTCTCCAGATGCACGTGGGTCTGCTTCCGCTCTTGAAGGTACTGCACATCTTCGTCGAGGTACGCTCGCTCCCACGCGCGCGCCTCCTCCGCCTCTTCCAGCTGCGCCACTCCCTGCCCCGAACGCTACATGGGCCCAAGCGGAGACAAAGAGGATGGAAGCGCGCTCCGCAGACAACGGAGACAGGCGACGCGCGCCTACGTACCAGGAAGAAGGGAGGACAGAGGGACGAGAGTCGCGCCTCGTGGGAGACGCGCGCCCCACAAGAGAACGGAACGAGACGCGCGGCTCACGAGTGTGAGAAGAGGAACACGCAGCTCAGACGGAAGATACAGGAGGCGCGCGACGGACGGAGAGGAGGGAGAACGGGGAGCCACAAATAAGCGCGCCTCGGAGAAAGGAGCAGCAGGACGAAATGTGAGGAAACGCGCCCCTCAACCGGACGGAGGTGGGGGGGCGCGAGTAGGAAGAGGGAGGCGCGCACCTGAAGAGGGGGAGGGGGAAAAAAGGAGGCGCGCGCCCCAGAGGGGGGGAGTGAGAACGCAGGCGGGAGACTCGCGTCCCAGAGAGGGAACGAGGCAGGCAGGGGGAGACGGTCGACTAAGCAAAAGGCGAGCGGAGAGCTCAAGCGTTAGGGGAAGGGCGATGCGCCCCGCCGAGGAGAGGAGGAGGGGAGGCGCGCGCCTCGAAAAGGAAGGAGGGAGGACGGATGGGGCGAGGCGCGCGCATAAGGAAGGAAGGGGGAGGAGGAAGCAGGAGTGGCGAGGCGCGCCCCATCGGAGGCGGGGGCGGACGGAGACGCGCGCCTCACAGCAGGAAAAAGGACGCCCCCCCCGTCATCCTCTGCAAAAAATCATGCGCGCGCTCGTTTATCAAATCTCATCATCTCATCATACTAAATGCACGTGCGCGCATTGTCGCGCGGGCATGTTGGAATCTTTCAAAAACATGAGGTGTCGTGAAGATTTCAAAATCGAGTGCCCCGCAAACATATGTTAAAAACACGCATGGTGTCGCACGGCTGGGCTTCTAAAAAGCTTGCGCGCGCTCTTGCGACTCATTCTTAAAGAAAACCATAAGTTGTTCAACATTGTCAGAACATGCTACCAAACGGACTTCGCGCGCACGTCGCAATCGTTCGAACGCCCTTGCGCGCGTGCTGTCGCGAGAATCCTTTGCATCAAATGAAACGAAGTGCACGCGCGCGCTTCGTCGCGCGCGCATGCCAGAATCCGAAAATGATGAACGGTCGGACAACAACTGGCAACCTCCAAAAACTCTTGGGAAGCCAACACTGACCTCTCATGGCGTCTCCCAACGTACCTCCGCCAATTTCCGCCGAGCTTCCACCAGCGGCACCGGCCTCGTTATACGTGCGTTGGCTTTCGCCGAGGGCGAGAGGCTTACCCTGCGAATCCACATTTGTTTTACCCTCGGGGGGCTCAGGAGGCCTCGGAGTCCACGGGCCAGGCAAATGAGGCAACCTCACCCCAGCAGCAGCTCAGGAGCAGGCCCGCAGCCGTTGCTGACGAGAGCAACAGCAAGGCGTCAAAATCAAAACAGTCACCCAGAGGCCATGTTAATCGCAAGCTGGATGGCACGGCGCTTGCGGCAAAGGCCTCTGAAGCGTCCTTCAAAGATCCGTCTAGGCAACGCTCTCACACCTCTCCTCCAGGAGTTGTGGGTAAAGTAAAAGGCCTCGCACATCGCAGCATATCGGAGATCCGTTTCAGGGCTGAGGCGGGGTGTCAAAACAAGGAGGTCTGAGAACCAGTCAGCCCCGTGAGGGGGTAGCTCATCACGAACCCAAAGTCCCAGAATCTCGCGTAATATCGGACATATCCCGTAATGTCGTAAACAATCCGTAATACCCGTCCCACAGCACCCAAACATACAATACCTCTCCGCAGACCTGAAACGGGTAGCCGTGCAACGCCCACGGCAAGCGATCCGCACCTGAGACAAAACAAGATGCGTGCCAGTAGCGCGCCTAACCCTTTGGAGCCGCAGCAACATGTTAGGAATGCAAGAAGGGTCAACTTCGGGGACCCACCGATCAAGCCTGGCCTTCAGGATCTCGGGGACACTGCGACCAGGACGACAACACATGCGCTGAAGGGAAGAGTAGAGCTTACGTTGGATAGCCTTCCGAGGCGTCGTCGGAGGGAGCGTAAGGAGGATAGAGAGGATAATACCACGTGCCGCTGCCATCTGAGTAGTGATACAAGTCGTATTCCAACCGGTGTGTAAACGAGCAATGCAACAGTCATCAGAGCGGCCAAAGGCACGAAGAGTTCCCAATTTGTGGCAAAAGACGGGACAGTGTTCGGCACACCTCGCACGCGCTGCAATGCTGATACGAGGGAGATGCTTCAGACTGGTACCCCCGCCGCACACACTTAGGTTCTCGAGTAGTTCCGTCGGCAACGCATTCCACGGCCCGTTCGTTAACACCTGCGCACACCGACGACAGGCATCAAGCAGGGCACGAGACGGAACATAGAACTGCAGCACATACTGCAACAAGGAAAGACAAAGCACATGGAACGTCCTCAAACTCAACACCAAGCCTAATCCCGCACGCCGCACATCCATATTACGGTCCAGCAGGCGCGGGATCAGCTCATTCCACGCATTAGCAGCACCATCGGGACCGATCATCACCCCCAGATAGTTGGTAACATTTGTAAAACTAAGTTGAATGTACTGTGGGCCCAAGGAACCCTGCGAGTCCACATATTGGATCGATACACATCTCAGTGGCGCACGGCGGATCGGACCGAAACTGGAATCCAAGGGTCAGATCGGCCAGGAACCGAAGCTCCTAAGTTGGCCAAGCCTCTCAGGGGCCACTGGCGAAAGCCCATGGAAGGCCTGGCCAAGCTTGGTGCTGGCATATCACTGACCCCTCCCGCGAACTTCACGCGACGCCCCATGACTTCCGAACCCGCCGGCCTTGAAGGCTATGTGATATCATTCCTTTTTTCCGCAAAGGCAAGGCGAGGTGCAGTAGCAACAGTGGTCTGGCTGATGAGGCAACGTCGGGCCTACCCTCCGACGAAGTGCCGCACATCATCTAAGGCAAGGAAATCCGCCCACCCCTTTGGGTGACTAGTATGTGAAATCGACAGGCAACCCGCCTCATGCAATGCCCAGCTACCCTCGCCCATTTGACAAGTGGCCCCGATTGACAGATTTGCCACTGGCAACAAGGAGGGTTCCAGTCTCCCCAAGTGTCCATTGAAAAGTGACACAAATTGTCGAAGTGGTCATCGGCGACAGCATTGACAGGACATTTCTGAGCCCAGAAATGGGAGGTCTCGGGCGAAATTGGTTGAACCACCTCAGGTCTGGGCATCCCCGAAAGAACAATCCCGACGATGTCTCAGGCGAAAAAGACTGGGACCGCGTGAGGTGAGGACATAAGACGTACATAAACCCGGAGTGGCAATGATATCTCAAGCGAAACGAACAGTCCACGGCAACTGCAAACCGAGAGCAGCGAGGAAACGGGAACTGATAGTTACCGTGCGGCCTGAGCATCGACTGATCCAGAATATCGAGGATGTACCGGGCGAAGATTGCTCTGCGAGGATGTCTCAAGCCAAAAAAGCTGGACCACCTCAGGACAGCGGCGAAGAAGTCGAAGCGAAATGGGCTGGACTATTTCTCGCGCGGCATCTCGAAACCCACAACTGCAGGGATGTCTCGAGACCGGCCGGACCGCTTCACAAGCGGCATCTCAGGGCCCAAATTAACGATGATGGCTTCGCCGGAACCGACCCAAACAACTCCTCGCATGGGGTCTCCTAACTCAAACACCCACCCGTCTTCTGGGCAGGAGATGGTCAATCGCGGTTCCTTGTCTAACCCCATTGTTCCCCTTCGGGGATGGGGTCGTTGCTGCTCCTGGATAATATTTGCCACCTCGCCCAATCTACCGACCGCTAACCTGAGTCTCTGCCACCTCCCTCGATTCAAACCAACAAATCGGAATACCCCCAGGCGGCTCCCCCATTGGAGCTCGGAAATGCGATGCGACCTGTCGGGACGATGATCATCGGATTACCATGGTTCTGTAGATCCGCCACCGTGCCTCTGGGCACGGAGTGGGCGTGCCCTGAGGTCCTTGCCAAAATCATCACGCCTGAGGAGTCGCTCAAGAGCCCCAGGCCCCGCGTCGCGACGTCTTCTCCTGGGGTTTCTCGCGGTTTCTCGCGCGACCGTTTCGGAGCGATGGGGGCTCCAGAACGGGCCCAACAGTGCCCAAAGAGGCCCACGACGGCCCAGAAAGTCGAAAACAAGCTGGTAAGCTTAGGTATGTAGTCCGCCTTAGGCGCTCCCATATCCCAGGCTTTGGCTCATATCGCATGAGCAAGAGAGCGAGACGAAGCATGGGATCTGGAGTAAAGGATAGGATGGGCATCGTCAATGGAAAAGGTATTTTCCGATCTCTGATGCAAGTCGTGCGCCTCAGTGAGGCACAGTCATATATTTGGCCGGGCCCGGCTTGAGCCAGGCACGGCAGCGGTACATGCTCGATTTATACCTCGCCTTTAACCTTCTCCGTTTAAAGTCGGAGGGGGAGGAGACGAGCAGGTACCGCACTTCTACACTATGCGGAAAAACAGTGCTAAGCAGCAGCGGCTGCCTACAAGGAAGGGGCGCGCGAGTAGCCTCGCTACCGGCGAGTTTCCTCGCTACTAAAGCGCACCTGCCCGCGGGTTTCCCCGCTGGCTCGGGAGGCAGGGCCGTCCTCAGACGACCTGCCCGCCCTATACGGTGTATGTTTCTTCAGCTCGTGCTTGGAAGACTGCTACCCGACCATTGTAACGCTCCACGAGCTACACTCGGGACCATTGACCCCCACACAGTTAAAGAACATATTGGAAATGGGTGGTCTATGTATCAAAGTCACTCTGACTATTGATGCCGAGTCTGTCTTCAAGTCTTTGTCTAGCAAAGATCTGAAGAAGCCCACAGAATGTACTCTGCTTGGGCACATCAGCTGGATCCGCCAGATGATGGAACGCGGAATCGTGGAAAGCGTCCAATGGTGTGACACGCGGGATATGACTGCCGATGGTCATACCAAAGGTAGTATTGACCGCGCGTTGCTCCTACAAGTAATGGCCGGCCAGCAATCCTTCAAGCACGAGCTGAAGAAACATACACCGTATAGGGCGGGCAGGTCGTCTGAGGACGGCCCTGCCTCCCGAGCCAGCGGGGAAACCCGCGGGCAGGTGCGCTTTAGTAGCGAGGAAACTCGCCGGTAGCGAGGCTACTCGCGCGCCCCTTCCTTGTAGGCAGCCGCTGCTGCTTAGCACTGTTTTTCCGCATAGTGTAGAAGTGCGGTACCTGCTCGTCTCCTCCCCCTCCGACTTTAAACGGAGAAGGTTAAAGGCGAGGTATAAATCGAGCATGTACCGCTGCCGTGCCTGGCTCAAGCCGGGCCCGGCCAAATATATGACTGTGCCTCACTGAGGCGCACGACTTGCATCAGAGATCGGAAAATACCTTTTCCATTGACGATGCCCATCCTATCCTTTACTCCAGATCCCATGCTTCGTCTTCTCTTGCTCATATCGCATGAGCAAGAGAGCGAGACGAAGCATGGGATCTGGAGTAAAGGATAGGATGGGCATCGTCAATGGAAAAGTATTTTCCGATCTCAGATGCAAGTCGTGCGCCTCGGTGAGGCACAGTCATATATTTGGCCGGGCCCGGCTTGAGCCAGGCACGGCAGCGGCACATGCTCGATTTATACCTCGCCTTTAACCTTCTCCGTTTAAAGTCGGAGGGGGAGGAGACGAGCAGGCACCGCACTTCTACATTATGCGGAAAAACAGTGCTAAGCAGCAGCGGCTGCCTACAAGGAAAGGGCGCGCGAGTGGCCTCGCTACCGGCGAGTTTCCTCGCTACTAAAGCGCACCTGCCCGCGGGTTTCCCCGCTGGCTCGGGAGGCAGGGCCGTCCTCAGACGACCTGCCCGCCCTATACGGTGTATGTTTCTTCAGCTCGTGCTTGAAGGATTGCTGGCCGGCCATTACTTGTAGGAGCAACGCGCGGTCAATACTACCTTTGGTATGACCATCGGCAGTCATATCCCGCGTGTCACACCATTGGACGCTTTCCACGATTCCGCGTTCCATCATCTGGCGGATCCAGCTGATGTGCCCAAGCAGAGTACATTCTGTGGGCTTCTTCAGATCTTTGCTAGACAAAGACTTGAAGACAGACTCGGCATCAATAGTCAGAGTGACTTTGATACATAGACCACCCATTTCCAATATGTTCTTTAACTGTGTGGGGGTCAATGGTCCCGAGTGTAGCTCGTGGAGCGTTACAATGGTCGGGTAGCAGTCTTCCAAGTTGTGGGCTGCTGCCAGTGTTTCCGCAGAGTAGCTCGAACGCACCTGCAGTCGATGAGACTTGCAGTATGCGTCCACCAGGTGCACGACGGGTTTCCCCGCTTGCGTGTGGCCACGCCTCAGCAGGTTAGCCCCGCGGATACCATAGCCTTTGACTTCGTCGTCTTCATCTCCGTTGAGACGACGATAGCCAGAATCGCTATGCAGGTCGACTTCTCCTGTTGGGGTCATAGCTTGATACACGATCTTCTTCGGACCTGCCTGTAGCTTTCTGGTAACCGCGTTTAGTCGTCGTACCTGGATGTTTGTCGGTTCCTGGATACGTTGTAGTGAGACAACATAGACCATCAGCCATACCTGCGTGATCAACGCATAGGCTAGAGCGCCACGAAGACTGACGAACATGTCAGAAATCGTCTTTGTCGCTTTGCTCTCAGGATCAGCTCCTGTGAGCTCTGGATGTGTGATAGGACGAAGCTGTTTGATGTATTCGTCCTGATCAAGAGTGACGCTCCCATCATCGGTCTTGTTGTACCGAACGGCACAGTTTGTGTATGTGTGCTTGTTCAGTTTGCACTTCCCAAACGTATCTTCAACACACTTGACATACTTGTCAATAGCCTCTTCCTTCCCAGTCATATTGATGTCATCAACGTGCTTGGCTGTCAAGAGGTTTGGGCTCATCTCGAACTCTTCGTCGTATGAAGTAGGCTGTAGCCCAAAGCTCCTAGTGATGGACCTGAGCTTCAGCGAGAATGCCCTGGGAGCATCCTTCGTGCCCGTCCCCGGTTTCAGACACCGGAGACAATGCTTTGATTCGTCATATGACTCAAAGCCTGGCAGTGTGCGAAGGACAGCTGCTGACCCAGGTGGTAGTGTGAAGCACACCACACGCTCTTTCTCGCCCGTTGCCGCGGCGAGCTCGCCATAGGTCAGTCCCTTCAAGAAAGCCATGTTGATGTCCAGGGAAGCGATGATCCAAGCTTTGTTGCATGCAGCAGAACTTGCGAGCAGTCTCTGGCTTGACCTCCTTGCCGTGCCAGAGAAGGTTTCGACATCAAAGGCTTCAAGGTCCATGAAGCCACGGAGTACCAAGCGTAACCTGATCGTCCTTTCCATTTCGCCCTTTTCGTTCTTGACAAACTTCCATTTGTATACGTAGCGTGACGTCATGATGTTAGACGCCTTGCTTAAGTCAGTCATCTGGAAGCATTTGTTGTCAAGCCAAGTCTTCAATTCTGTGTAGAGGGCTTTGGAAACTTTGACCGGATTTGCTTGGATGTCGGCCTTCGTGAGTAGATCGTCTTCCTTGACGACCACGGCACGTTTGGAGGCAGCGCTAACGTATACTCGCATAGTTGTGACGCTGCTGTCATCCAACAATCGGTGTTGCTGCTCGGACAGGACGACTTTGGACATGTCTGCAGTGAAGCAGAGCTCGATGTACTTCCCGTGCTCATCGGAGTCCAGATCATATTTGCTATCCGGATCCGTGGAGCATAAAGGAACGTAGTAAGAAGTGTCCATGTCGTATCCTGGCGGGTGACCCCGCTCCGGCAAGTGGCCTTGCACATCTTCACAGGTCGTAGAGACTAACACACACTGTGTGTCTGTCATGTATGTGGGAACTGTATGCATGACTTCCTCTGTGTCAGCTTCAAGGAGTGTTCTGTCATCCATCAGTTCAGCATACCACGACTTCAAGACAAAAGCATCCAGATCT